GCGGGGAATGGTAACAAAGCACTAAGAGTTAGGATGATGACTGGATATGGATTTTTTTGTGCAATGCTTTGTCTCCTGTAAACCAGAAACAGTCAGTCTAGCACTTCTGCTTGGCAGCAATAACATCATGGTTGAAATATCAAATTATGATCGGATGTCTTTCTAAGAGACCTGCTTCAGTGAAACCGGGCTGCTGGACTTGGTATGCAAGTCTGTGGCTCATGCGTCTGTTGAGGCATGGGTTGAGCCTTAGCTGGACTGGACTTGGTTTGCAAGTCTAACCCATGCACCTATTGATGTATGGACTGAGCCTTATCATCTGCACTCTAAAAAAGTAAGCTTAGATAATCATGTATAGCCCCTTTTAGCCTGGAAGTCTCATGTTTAATACCCAGAATGATGGATTTCTAGTTTACGGTTGAGGCCATTAGGTGTTCCTCTGTGTAGTGAACAGTCGTGATTACAGTATGAGTGGGTCAGTGCAAATAAGACAACTGTTGGGTGAAGAAAGCAAGCACCAACCATAGGTTTCTTGTCCCGCTCATCGGGAAGTGTGTCTGCAGTTTCCTAAAGCAGCTAGGATTGGGAGCACACCACTGCTGTGTCCTCAGTTACTTCTAGGCAGGGTGATGGTTTTTGGTCAGATACTCCACAGCTTGTCTCGCTGCAATGAGATCTGACCCGAGGGATGGAAAGATTTTTCTTGGCTTTGAACTTGGCTGTCCCAGTTAGCTCAGCAAATTAAACCAGTGTTTAATTCTGTAGGAAAAAATATCATGTGCTTAAGAGCGTTCCCTATTCTGTTTGAATTTTCTTGTATAATACTGATTCCTTCCAAGTTAATTCGCAGTTATAACATCAGAGGGAAACTATGTTACAAAAATCAATAAATCGATTTTGGTGGTTAAATGATCCTTCAAGAGGAGCTCACTGAGCTGAGCTTGGCCTTTCTGCAGCCTGGACAGGCATCTTTCTGAAAGCGAAGGAGCTCCGGGCTTTGTCAGAACAGACATTATTCTCTGTGCCGAAGTTATAAAATTGCACTCTGCAGAGCTGATAAAATACGAATACACATTTCGTGGAAGATTCACTGGGCACAGTGTCAAATCCCTGGATTTTGGAATGGTTTCATGGGATTAGCTGGAAGAAGGGAGGTGCAGGTATAAATCAGGGAATTTGGATTCAGTAGGTTCAGAAGTAAACGGGACTGATTCTCACTTATTTTTTTGCCCGTCTTTTACTCCGTTAGTGCAACGCCTTAACACTAGAGTAATTTTACACCCTTTAAAATCTCTCTTACTTTGCCTGAGGGATAGAGTAGTATAGATGAAGCACAGATCCGGGAGGTTTCAATATTTTCTTCTGTGTTTCCCCATGCTCCATCGCAGCTCTTTGGTCACGCTGGTATTTTATTAGTGACGCCTTGTCCCCTTCCATCTGCGGCACGAAAGACGGGGGCACGATGAGGGATGTGCTCGAGGTACCACCTCCCTGCATCGCCTTGCTCTGCGCCCACAGCTATACGTGCCTCAGCTTTGGGTGAATGAGGGAGCAGATGTGTAGGGACCACATCTAGCATCTCCCCTTGTGCCCATCTATAGCCTTACATTAGCCTTCCTTATAGCTGCTGTATGTCTGCACTAGTTCATGCTATGCAGGGGCTTGCAAGGATGAAGTCTCGTCTTTATGTCTTTATATATACATGTATGTGCGCATCCAGGCAGGCACCCCTGGCCGCTACAGGCAGCCTGCGAGAGCAGACAAAGGCTGCCGGAGCTGAGCTGGCAGCGCTATTAATTTTTCACAAAAAGAAATCTTACATTAAAAATAGGAAAATCTCTGATGATAAATGCTGCAGTGGTGAAATTCAAAGCAAATCATTTAACTGAGCTCCTTGATGTAGAAACCATTACTGCCATCATTTGCTGTATTGAAAAAAAAAAGAAAAAGGAAAAAAAGCAAAAAAAGCCTGTGCTGTTGGTTTAGCATGCAATTAACATTGACAGAACAAGTGACTGCAAGTATTTATCAACAAGCCCAAAGCCAAGGGCTGGGAAACATTGCAGAGGTAATGTGTTACTCATGAATACTGTACTTCATTCTGGAATAGTTCATACATGCCTTATTCATAACAGCCAAAGCATGCATATAATTAAATTTAGGTAAATACCCTACCAGCTGCAGCTGAAAAGCAATTTAGGAGCTAACTGGAACCTGGGCTCGTGTGTCAGATGGGAACTGCACTTCATCTCTCGCTGCGAAGAAAAGGCACATTAGAAGTTTCTGGATCTTCAGTGTATGCTTAGGATTAATATAGTTACGGCTCTGTTCAGAGCCTTCCCAAATGTTTTCGAAGCGGTTTCCATCAGCCCTGCTCAACAAGCAAACAAACGGCATTATTGCCTCTTCCGTGATGTGAAAAATGGAGGTGGAGCGGGGTGGCTGCAGGGTCCCCTTGTGCAGCCGCGATCAGGCCTGGGGCAGAGAGCCGGGGTTCGTCATCGCCAGCCTGACGACTCTCCCCAGAAAGGAAATGAGCTGACGGCTCAGAATGAACTTGCACCACCAACCTTTTAGTGGAGGTAAATGCATTGACTCTTCTCCAAGCCACAAGCGCAGCATTGTGAATCTGATGAGCTATTGAGATGCATTGAGTGTATTAGAGTGATTATAGGTTTTCATAATCTGGCTGAACAGGGAAGGATAAAATCTAGCAATTGCTGCGCTCCTTGACTTGCAGCTGTATCTAGCAACCCTCAAGCTGTGTTTCATAGTCACTTGTTTCCTTCTGATTTGTTTCTCCTTTCCGTGGGCATTCCCGGAGGTTAATCGGCATAATGAGCAAATGTATTTGTTTGTCTCCTTTAAAAGGATGTGACCTGATGTTCTCCTCCCACTCCAAAGATGGGGAACAAAGAGGGGAAGAGCGAAAGGAAGGAAAGGCAACAAGCTGTAGATAACTTAAGGTGCTACAACCACTTCCAAGGCCCTTCTGTTTTCCCAGCTTTTTATGTTTTGTCCCTTCTGTTGGTGCTATACGGAGAATTCTCACAGCACGGACACGTGGAAATCGGTGGCACTGCCCTGTGCACCAGGCATCCTGCTTAATTTTAAGCACTCAGCTGAGGCATCTGAGCTACATCTTGATGGGCTGAGTCACCATCTGGAAGAGCTTCTCCTTCTCCAGTGATGGGGAGCGTGGAGCTGCGGGATCCTGACGTGGGCATCTCACCATGTGCCAGGACAGGGTGTGGAGAGGAGCATGACAGGCAAAAGCGTGCAAAAAAAGAGTTTTTCTTCAGTTTCTTTTTCAGCTCAAGTCACCCTAAGTATGAAGGGTGCCATCAGTCAATAAAAACATTTCAGACAACAGTTTATTATTTGAGTTGATGGTGCCTCTGTAAATTTAATTGCATTTTGGAGAGAAGCACAATAGAATTACTCACCAGTGAAAGAGTTTATTTTATTACATCCAAATGGGGTGCGGTGTTCTTTCACCTATCAAGACCTGGGGATCAAGTCCTGCCTTGCAAGAAAAAGACGTTTTGTTTTCCATCCTGCTCCTCCAGCGGGCACATGTCCACATCCTACCGGTCCCACGAGGTCTGGCAAAGCGTCCTCGGGCTCCGCTAAAATGAATCCGTGTAATACCCGTCCAAAAGGAGGTTCATTGGCAGGGGTTGGGGGAAACCCTGCCAAACACCTGGCCGCAGCATTACAAGTCTTTCACTTTTATTCTGAGTTTATTTTGAGACGGGTAATCATTCTCCCTGGATGGAGATGGCGCTGGTAAATCCCCACCGTTGTGAAGACTTCTTGTCTTCTGTAATATTTACTTGCCATTTGGCCACGCGGAGCACTTTCCTGCTTTACCAAATCGTGATGAGTTTAATAACAGTCCCTGTCCTTAAAAGCCCTTTTAAAACCACGGTTGATATCGTATTTTATTTTCTTTGGCTTGAAGGGGTTTGATTGCTTTTACTTGTAGTCACATTTTGATTTAGTTCCAGAAATGAAGTGGGTTAAAAAGGCCTCCCTTGGGAGTACCCAGGGGCTTAAAGAGGAATATGAATCTGGTGGCAAAACCAAGCAAACTGCAGCTCCCCAGACCACTGAGGTCCAAGCGCGGAGCCTCGCTGGCCTCCCCCCCCAGCTTGCTGCATCCCTGCTGTTGCGTCCACGCGTGCAGGGCCAGGTATTTGCCGATCTCATCCAGAAATGGTTTGCAATACTTCACAGTTTTGCACTGCGTGTGTTTTGTGCGTGTACGAAGAATCAGCTTCTCGCATGATTGAGAAGACCCAGCCACGCTGAACTTTTGGTGTTAGAAGCTGGAAGTGCGTATGTTTAAAAATGTCAGTAAAGATCACCATTTGCGATGGAAGTTAGTGTCTATTTTATTATGTTTTGCCTCAAACAGGGCTCTGTGTGTAGCTCAGTTAATGTGCTTTGGTTATCAACCTGGTAGGTTGCTGCCAGAATCATCTTTATTACTGAAAGAGCTGGAGAATGTGTTTAGAAGGAGTTTTACATGGAAATAAAGTTGCTTTGCTCTGCAGGATGTGTTACAGGGTGGAGAATGTAGTTGTCATTTAAAGGACGTTTTTTCAAAGTGTGGATATTTTAAATACGTCGTTTTCTAATGACTTCAGGATTGGTGGCATGCTTTCAAAGTACAGTTCTCCTCTGCAAAATGACTATAAAAGTAGCGCTTCAGCTTTCATGAAATTGTACCTCTAGTGTTTCCAAATTTACATATGCTCGTAGAAAATATATTGTTTTATTTTTGCTGTCCTACAATGTTTGGGTTTTCTTGAGCTATCAGTGATCACCAATAATCAAGGATGCAATTAGTTGGTGGTTTACAAGTGAGAATTAGTCCAGCTCTGTTTCCCAAAGCTGGACGAGGTTGAAGGCTTAGCAGGAGCAAAAATTGTTGTCAGAAGTTCTTTTGTCGATGTAACAAGCAAATACTAACATACTCTTTCTTCTGATTTTAGGAGTGGCCACACATTACTTGCCTTCTGGTTTTCCCGTCAAGAAGGAAAACTAAATCGACAGCAAACTATTGAACTGGGACATCACATTCTCAAAGCACATATTTTTAAGGTAACAAAAATTAAAATGAAGACTTATGCCAACCTCATCCTTGCTGCACTGGCAGGGTTCAGTCTCTTCTTGTTTTAGAGTTGCTGTAAGAAGTGTGATTGCTTCAGGCTGCTGAAGCGTGTAGGACTGAGCTTTAGAAAATTGGCAATGGTATATAAGAAATCCTTGAAACTAAACCGTCCTTCAGACTGTAAATTCGGCAGATAGCCTCCTTACCTAAAATTACCATTCTATCATAAGAGGTTTTTTCCCATGTAAGATGAGTTCCTTGTAACGACATCTAGAAAAAAACAAATAATTTAAAAGGAGTGGTTTTGAAGAATCCAACCCAAAATTCAGGTTGTAAAGTGAAGATCTGATGGTCCTTAAAATCTGGCGGTGGGTCCGTTTTACTCTTCACAGACGTTTAAGATCTGGGTGATTAAAAGGCAAGCTTGGATGTGAGCATCAATATGACCCATAAATTAAGTATCACTCTTTTGCCCGTTGGCCCGTATACCAGAAGGTGGAAATGGGAGGATGGATTTGTAAGGTCACAGGAAATACAGTATTTATTAAATTTATTAAAAGTATTAGGATCTGTGCGTGCTTAACACTGGTAAAAATGAGGCTATATTTTTATCTGATCTGTATATGATTTTATAGACTTAAGAACTTTAGCACCTCTGTATTTCTAGAGCAAACAGATAGTTTGTGTCTTGTGTCAGTCCTGTTGGATTTATTTATTGAGTTCCCTGTGCTGAATTCACCATCAGGTACAACAGCAAAGTCTCCTCGTTTGGGAACGCGATGGCGGGAGCCAAAGGGAAGAACCCTAGATCAGTGTATAATTTTCAAATTTTGAATTACGTTCCCAAGGCCAAATTCAGCAGTGAGTTTACTATTCAGCTGCCATTTGCATCTAAATCTGATCCCAAATCTTCTTCGTTTCACACTTCCATGGTAGAAACAAATAACAGGGTTTCAGGCTCTAAGCAAATGACAATTTTCATTAAGTGGACAAGTTGCTTGTAGATTCCAGATTTAATTGAGCAATATTTACAATAGTAGAAAATGCCAATTAGCATATGAAAAATGTCAGTACAGCCTTCTGTTTCTAATCACTCGGCAAAATCCTTGGGTTTGCAACACTGCAATAAGAATAGCATGTCTCGGTGACAGATAAGCGTAACAGTATGTTATTGAGAAGTACTATAAAGTTTTGAAAGGGTTTGGATTAGCTGGATTAGAAACACTGTAAAACTTAGTCTTTCGCTCTTCCTTGAATAGGTTTATTTTTATTCCTTTTTTTAACAAGTGTTTACTGAGGATTTGTGAGTGTTTACTGGGTGAAACAATAGGTGCATTAGTTTTAGAAGGAGGCATTGAGCTGGAATATTGCAGGCCATGTTTAAGATCTTGAGCATTCTTTTAAGAAAGTATTTCTGAGAGTACGTACACAGACTCCTTTTCCTGTTGTTACTGACTGTATTCGTTTCTAAACAAGCGGTTTTTTTTCCATTGAAGCTTTTCATTCTGTCCAATCTTTTGCTGAAGCCATTACCAGTATGGCATGGGTTTTTTGCCAAGTAGGGAGCATGTCAGGTCATCAATTCAGTGTGTTTTTCCTGAAGTATCACATTATAGCAGCAGCTTTCCGCAGACACAAAGATCTGAATTTTGAAGGTATTTGTGGAGCCCTGATGCCATCGTAATTCCATTTTATTTACCCATCATGAAGCCAGGAGAGGATTAGAACAGGGCTAAAGCATTTTGTCCAGCCAGGGACTACTGAGAGGTAGGTATAGAGACAAACTTTGATTGAACAGTGCAGAAAACATACTTGTCCTTCCCCAGTCCCTATCGGTTCGAATCCACCAGTACATTGTGCAAGGTAATGATGGGACACTTGGAATTTTGAGGCATAAAAAATCAGTGATGCACAGACACAAGGAGATGACCTGATAGATAGTGTAAAGAAGCTTTCGCGCTCCCTGCTTTGCTTGATGGCTGAGATCTGCTGGTTTTCTTTTTTAAACACAAACATCCTCAAACAGTTTGGGGGGGGCGGGCGGGGGGGAAGTACAAATGTTTTAGTCTTTTAAAGCAATTATCAGTCTTAACAGGAGCATATGGAAACCCAGCTTGGAAAGCCTGGCATGGAATGAAAGGGCAAGAAGAGAAATGTGCAGTAATGATACAAAAAGACCCAAACTTCAGGCTGATGTATGTTTTGCAAATCAACCAAAGAGAAGTCTTTAATTTCATCTTAAATTAGTTAGCTAAAATGTCATTAATCCACAAATGGGTGTCCCTCGTCCCCAGATTGAGAATGTAATGACAATTACAGGCAGAAACACTCACTTTGACAGCTACGAGTATGTATAAGTGTCTGATATTCCTTGAAAAACAGCCTTATAAAGATCTTGTGTTGAAGGTGCCAATGGCCAAATAGCAGAGGAAGCAATAAGTTAGAAATGAAGGATGCTGACAGTACAAGAGTGCAGGACAAGAGAAAACCAAGCCTGTTTGAAAACTGGGCTTGTGTGGGGTTGGCAAAGTTATCACATGAAACGTGCATGGTCAGGCCATGCCTTGGTCCTGTGTCGGACGGTCCCAGTGAAGTGGAAACCACTCATGGTATTTTGGTTTGATGTTGTGTCAAGTTGGGATTTGCTTTTGCTGAAGGATTCAACCTGCTTTACAGTTCTAGGCAGAAAAGGGAAATAGAAAAGGAAGAGATGATCTGTAAAATGAGAAATAATGCAGTTTTGTTTCAGCAACTGAATGATAATGGTGTTGAATGTATTTATTCTTTAAAGGATAAATGTCATCTTTTATGTCTTGCACTAATATCTAAGTATATATGTTCTAATACAGCAGTTAAGATTTTTACAGCATATGTGATTATCTTCAGATGGCTATTCTTTTCTTTCCCTTGGTCCTGTTGGTAATTCAAACAGCTTATTTATGGGTTTGATAGTATTATAACTATTTTTAAATTATTTTAACCATTTATTATAAAATTATTTTCCATTTGTCCAATTATACTGTACTGAGTTCACTGAAATTTAATATTGACCTCTAACATCCTGTATTGTGTCATTTCAAAAGCAGCATTTAACGGTGGCTAAAATTCCCGAGCTCTTTTTCTGCCTCTTAACACAAGAGATATTTTTCTCTATTTAGCTCCCTGAATTTTGAAGGAAACAAGCACATGGAGTTGTTATTTATAAGAGCTTGTCTAATCTGTTGCTTCTTTTTATGGTAAAACCGTTTCAAGTGACAAATCTGTTGATGGCTGGTGCGATGCTTCACAATATCTTTCACACGTAGGTATTAGAGGTCTGCAGCTGAGTCCAGCAGCGGGCTCAGATGATGGTTCCTGCACATCTTCCTTTAGAGGAAACAAATCCTACCTTTTGCTACTGGTTTTCATCCCACCACCCTACACCACCCGTGTCAGTCTGTCAAACAAAAGACTTACGAACTGAAACGTGATCCTGCTGCTTTGCACAGATAGAAATGACCACAGGGTGTGCAAGGAAGTAGAAATCAGGGTTTGCATATCAAAACAGAATTAAAGATGTCTGTACAGTTTCCATGGAAACAGCAGGCTTTAATGGTAAATCGATAGCATAACAGCAACATATAGGGCGTACCCGTATCACACAACGGAGCACAACGTGCAGCGAAGCTCGTTGCTGGAGTTGCAGACCCATTCCTCTCATCTTCCATCAAGCCGTTTGCTCCCGTCTGTTGGCTACAGAGCGATTATTGCTCCTTCGATAGGAGGGGGAGAAACTTGCTTACCAGTTCTGTGCTCTGCCAGTTAGTGTTCCTGGAAAAAGATGTCAGACCTTGTATATATTACATATAGCCTGATCACGGACACCAGCCGGAAAGGTTGGAAACAGTCTGGTATGAGTTATGGGAATACTGTTCTAGGCTGTGATTGAGACTTCCTTAATTTATCTGACTGTGAGCAGATACTGTCATCTAGTTTAACTGTGTGAATAATAAGGAAACTTTGTGAATCAGTTCTGCCAAAATAATGTGTACTTTATTAAAAAAGAAAAAAAGAAGCATGCTGTGCTCCTTACATGACATTTTCTGAGGGTGTTGAATGGATTCAGGTTGCTCACAGTTTAATCCTGCCTTTCCTAGACCTTGGAGATGCCTACAGTACATTTGCAAGTTACTTCCTACAAGCTTATTAATTCACTGCAAGGGTCGGATGTGGCAAATTGTCACGTTATCCTGTGTATAGCTGTTAGTGTCTTGAAACTCTTTGAAGTCCAAAGACCCAGGAGGATCTGCCCAATGTAATTGAGCATATTTGTAAGCTTGCATCTAAGTCCTCTTTTCTTTTTTAGGGGCTGAGTAAAAAAGTTGGGGTATCTTCCTCTATCCTGCAAGGGCTTTGGATCTCCTACAGTACTGAAGGTCTTTCGATGGCTTTGGCATCTCTGAGAAATCTCTACACCCCAAACATAAAGGTACTGGAGGAGGAGGAGAGCTGGGGTGGTTCAGAGCTCAAGCAATGCGCAGTAACCGTGCGTAGAGTGTTTGCTGTAGCCGCCTGCCCGTGGCAGTGGTCCTACCCAGGCAGTGCTGAGCAGCTTGCTGGGCATTCGTCTTGAGCTGGGGAGAGGCCATCAGTTCAGTTGGGATTTTGTTACCAACTGGGATGATCCCTCAACTCTTCTGCTTTGACCAGGGATCTCCTTTTAATTGCAGCGAGTGAGTAGTGAATTTGCGCCTCTGCAAAATGGTTCACGTGCGTTTTTCCTCCCCAGAGATGTGGGATGCGACAACTGGTGTTGAAATTTGACAGCCCCGTAAAGGGCTTTGGCTTAGACAGGCACTAAGTCGGAGGCAACACCAAACACAACGGCACATGCTAGTTCAGGCACTAGGTGCCCATTTGCATTGGTAAGGATGAAACTGTTCACTTAAGTGACTTCATCTCTACAGCAGAAAGGATTTCAGACAGTGACACAGATTTCAAATTGTCCTTCATCTGGAAGGATGTTTGCCCCAGCTCCTTCCCATACTGGCAAAAATGCCTAAAATGGGACTGTGTATTTGGCAAGTGTTTTTACGGGGCATTTTGTGACCTTTGCTGTTTGCTTGGAAATGTGCAAAGGGTTCTGGTTTAAATTCTGTTGTAGCCCTGACAATAAACTAATGTCTCTCCATAAAGCTTGGCTAACAGGAGCTCTTCTTTCCCTGTGCAGGTCAGTCGGTTGCTGATTTTAGGAGGTGCAAACGTGAATTATCGGACTGAAGTTCTGAACAACGCCCCCATTTTGTGTGTCCAATCTCACCTGGGTTACACAGAGATGGTGGCTTTGCTCTTGGAGTTTGGGGCCAATGTAGATGCCGCTTCGGAAAGTGGCCTGACCCCCCTTGGCTACGCAGCTGCTGCTGGATTTCTGAGTATTGTTGTGCTGCTGTGCAAGAAACGGGCCAAGGTAAAGTGACCACGTTCCTCTAAAAGCTGATTTAAACTGTCCCACGTTTATGTAAGGCAAGGCACAAGCTGCAGGCAGGATACATAACGCTCGCTAAAAAATATCCTCCAGTAGGTGAAGCCAGGATGCTGCTGCGGAGGGTTGGCTTTTCTGCTAAAATGCGGTGGTTTTGAAAATCTCGCATTGACACCAAAGCTAAGTAACTCCTGAGAGTCTGTAATTAGTATTCTGGAATTCAGGTCTGCACTGATGGCCTGCGGAAGGGTGTTCTGGAGAAGTCCTTGAACCTCACGAGGTTAAAATGGCAACGTTGCTTTTGCAGCACAGAGCATTCTTTAAATATCTCCTTGAGACACATTTTCCAAAAACTTGTATCAGACTTGTCCTAGAAAAATACCCTTTGTTTAGCTTTGTGGTGAGTGTTTGGAGTTTTAATTGTATATAATGAGTCAAGTTTAAATATTTTGTTGAAGAAGAAGATTGTGCTGATTTTTGAAGTGGAGCCTCCTGGAAACAATTTGTGGTTTCTCTATGTGTTTAGCTTCAGTTCAAAAAGCAAAATATGGGTTTGTATAGTTTTGGTATGAAAGTCGGGATGACTGAGGAATCTGTTTAGATCTTGCTGTGTTGTCTGTAATAATGCAAGGACAGTATGAAGGAAAAAAAGAATTCTGCTTTTGCTGGGATATTTTGAGAGATTTGAGTGACTCCCTGACACTCATTGGTAATGACCTCACTGAGAACAGGAATACTTGGGCTACAAAATGCAATGCAAGAGTCCTCCACTCATAGCTTTCCTTCAGTATCCCTAACTGTATTGAAGAAATACCCCAAAACCAGCTGGGTTTAGTTTGCAGGCTGAGATGTTTGATTCTGGCATAGAAAACTGCAACACTGATTGCTGCATAAGTTGAGAAATGAGAAATATTAATATATTGGTAATATTAATGTATTATAATATGATAAATATTTCTCATATGTATTATATAACTATAATTAATATTAGCAGAATATATTAATATAATAATTATT